GCCCCAAGCTGGCCGAGGGACAGGTGCTGTGACTGCCTCGGGGCTCTCCAGGGCCTCTGTAGTTACCCCCGGGATGTGTCTGAAGATCTTCTGGCGGGGACAACGTAGTCAGGCAGGGAAATCTGGGAAAGGGAAATCTGGTATCTGAGGCCCCTGGCTCAGTGGGCCCTGTTGGTAGCCATTGACTCACCCACCCCTCCTCTCCCTCTAGGTACCGTGGTCGGCCAGGTGGGCTGCAGAGTGGGCTCCCTGCCCCTGTCTGCCTGTCCTGGACTGTGTTCTGGGCCTGCTGAGGACGGCAGAGCTGGTGTCCATCCAGCACCCACAAACCCTGATTCCCTGACCACCATCCAGGGTGGAGAAGGAAGCCCCTGCTTGGCATGGGGGATGCCTTTACTGTACCTGTTTGGATGCTTCTGAATAGAAATAAAGTGGGTTTTCCCTGGATGTACCCAGCAGCCTGTTTCAGACCACGAGCTGCCTCCCCACCGGCCCAATCTGACACAGGTCACCACCTCCCCAGGCCGGCAGGGCAGCACCTGCCCAGGTCCAGCCGGCTCCGGGCTGCTCCCCAAACTTCCCGCACTCCCGCGGACACCCCCTTACGGGCCCCTCGCCTCCTTCCCCTCAGGCTTGTCCTCCAGTATTTTCAGGACTGTTGGAACAGGCAGGCCTCAGGCCCCACCTGAGATTGTACCCGACTGTCCCCCAAACTTGGCATCTTCCGGAGTGTGGGCGAGGACCATGTTCCTGTTTATTTACCAACTTGATGATACCTGGGGGAGCCTTTGGGACTGTTTGCCCAAGACCCCTCTTTACAAGGGTACCGCCCCCTTGTCACCACCACGTGCCCTGCGGTATGCCTTGGGGCCTGGCTCTGCCGTTCTTGGTCAAGCCCAGCCCACACCCCAGGACTCCATCAGCCTCAGCTCCTGGCGGCTCTGGGGGTTCTTCTGGCACAAGTTTGGGGCTGGGCACCCTCCATGTTCAACTGGGGCCCTCGCCGCTTGCCGGGTCTCGGGGCTCACATTCTCGGGGCTCACATTGACTTCCTGGGGGGCTGTGCCGTTCCCGCCTCGCTGCGCCCCAGCAGCGGTGCTTGCAGCCCGAGGGTCCAGCGGCCCCAGCTGGGCACCTGAGAGAGGGGCTCCTCGAGGACACGACGGCCTGGGGGCAGAGCTGTGTCTCCCACGTTGCCGGGGGCGGTGGGTATGTGGGGCTCTGCCTTTTCTTTTGTATGCTTGCTTGTTTTCTTTTTTTTTTTTTTTTAAGAGAAAGGAAATTACAAACTCTCTTGAAGTTGTAGCTGGCTGTGGCTGCCGCCCTGGCTGGTGTCCAGCACTTAGAACCCAGGGCAGGTGCTGCCGGCCACCTGGAGGGTGCTGGGTCGGGGTGCGTCCCAAGGCCTGGGGGCTCCTGTCATTGTCGCTGGTTGGTTGCTGAGGCTGGAGGCCACAGGAGCAGGATCAGCTGTTTCCTCACTTACGCAGGCCTGTGGGGACAAGGTCAGAGAGCACCTGGGGGAGCAGGGCTGGGGCTGCCACTGGGGGCTGCCACCCCCTCCCCTTGGAGAACCTGAAATGGAACAAAGTCCAAGCAGTGATGGCTTCAGGCCTTTGGCAGAAAGGAGGTAGGTGGGGCTGAGGCTCTGGAAAGCCACCACTGCCTCTCCCTGTGCCGGGCAGGTCAGCGTCTTCTGCTTGTTTGCTGACATCTCAGTGGGGTCTGGGCTGTGGGGCTGGGAGTGGAGTGGGGGCTCGCCCAGGGGTGTACCTGGGTCCCTGGCTCAGGGCCTGCGTGTGACCCCACCCCTGCCCGGGTCTTTATTCCCCCGTTCTCTGACATGGGAGCTGGGCTCCTGCTACCTCGGACAGCCCCTGCCATGACAGCCCTCATTTTTAGGAGAGAAGGGCCAGGGGCTACCCAGGGGCATGCCATCAGGTGTCTCTGGGGGCCTGGGCAGCCCAGGGGCAGTGCGGCCACCTATTCTGAGCCCCAAACTAGGATTGTGTACAGGGCGAGCTGTGTGGCAAAAGCTATTTCAGAGGAGGACAGCTGGGAGCCCCGGCACCCCACCCCAGGGTCTGGGGTTTGCAGAACTGTGAACACTGCCTTTCAAGAAACAAGTCTGGTTCTGCCAGATAGGAAACCAGGGCCCCAGCTGCCTGCCACGGAGAGACCCCTACGGCAGCCCCATGCCGCCCGCTGGGAAGTGGCTCTTCAGGACACCCTTGCGGCCCCTGACTCACAGCCGTCTCCTGGACCCAACCCCCTCCCACAGGCGCAGTCTCTGCTGGGCTCTGAGCTTCTGGGCTGGGAGTGGGTCCTAGGTCTCTGCAGCCCCAGTACCACCCCAGAGCCTGGCATGAAGCAGATGTTAGAAAAGTGAGGGTGGATGGATGGACGGATGGATGGATGGACGGACAGGCAGGCCAAGGAAGGCAGCCTCTTGCTGTGAGCGCCAGATTGGCCAGGCTGGCTGCAGAGCAGGTTCTGCCGGCCATACTTACAAGTACGCCTGCTTGGACAAGAGGCTGGATGGCTTTTCATTGACATGGTAGAGAGGAAATGGATCAAATCCACCAATGAAATCAACTGAAAGAAATCAAGACCCAAATAAAACCAACACAATGGAAAAGATGGCAGAGCGGAAAACAGGCCCAATCATAGAATGAAGCCCAAGGGGTCCCTGGGCCACAGACACGCCCCAAGTCCCGACACGACAGCAGAGGGGACACAGCCGGGGGACGGGGGGCATAGGACAGCCCGGGTCCTCCGGCCTGTGCGGGGACGGCAGAGGTAGTACAGCCCGGGTCCTCCAGCCTGTGCGGGGATGGCCTGGGGGCACGGCAGAGGTAGGACAGCCCGGGTCCTCCGGCCTGTGCGGGGACGGCCTGGGGGGACGGCAGAGGTAGGACAGCCCGGGTCCTCTGGCCTGTGCGGGGACGGCCTAGGGGGACGGTAGGACAGCCCGGGTCCTCCAGCCTGTGCGGGGATGGCCTGGGGGCACGGCAGAGGTAGGACAGCCCGGGTCCTCCGGCCTGTGCGGGGACGGCCTGGGGGGACGGCAGAGGTAGGACAGCCCGGGTCCTCTGGCCTGTGCGGGGACGGCCTAGGGGGACGGCAGAGGTAGGACAGCCCGGGTCCTCTGGCCTGTGCGGGGACGGCCTGGGGGGACGGCAGAGGTAGGACAGCCCGGGTCCTCTGGCCTGTGCGGGGACGGCCTGGGAGGACGGCAGAGGTAGGACAGCCCGGGTCCGCCAGCCTGTGCGGGGGGCTGCACTGTGTTCTGCCCTCTCCCACCACCCTCTGTCATGTTCAGTCACGGTGGCTCCCTTGACACTGTCTGCATAGCCAGCAGGTGACAGGGGCTTGCTGGGCAAAGTCGATGCATTCTGAACTCCAGGTTCAAATGGGGTTCCCATCTTAAAATGTTTGAATGGAGCCAGAGAGCGGAAGCTGTTTGCCTCCTCCCAGGAAGCTGGCTGAGCCCTGAGTGATGGTTTAGGATCAGCGGCACAGTGGCTGAGGGATGCTGGGTGCTGGGGACGGAGGCTCTGAGGGCGTCCCCTGCCTCTGGAATCAGTCCTGGTCTGAGGGCAGGGTGCCCTTTGACGTGTGGACTGCTGACCCCATGGCCCCTGGGGTCCTGGAGACAGATGGCTTTGAACTGGATTCTGACCCCGGGGCCCCCCAGGCACACCCAGACTCTGCTTGGCATCTGCCCTTCCCCACCCGGCTCTGTCCTTCTCCACAGGATCTTCCTGTGAGACCACATCAGGATGAGGGGCCCAGCGAGGGCACCTGAGTGTGGACCACTCATGTTGCAAATCACAGGAAAGCTGATGGGGGCTGGCGAGCAGAGGGAAAATGAAAACCCTGCCTAGATGGGTCCAGGCTGCCACCGAGGGCCAGATGTGAGCGTCCCGGCCAGCAGGGCCCGGTTCTGAGCTGCCTGGAGGCTGCAGCGGCCCAGGACTCGGCAGGTCTGAGCTCAGACCTTCTACCTGTGGCCACTGCGGGGATCATGAGGACACGCCCAGCCTGAAGCACAGGAGCCCTTGGACCTGGGAGACAGCTGAACCCTGGGGCCCCCAGGCCAGGACCTCTGCTCGTCTCTTCCCTGTGTGTAGTGAGTCCTCTTCTGCTCAGGCCTATAGTCGTGAGCAAGGCCCTGCTGGGCGTGGGGTCCCTCCCAAGAGGGGAGGTCTCTCGCCTTGCCCAGACAGGACAGACTCAGAGTTGCCACCTCTGTAGCAGTCTCCCACCCCGCTGCCTGCAGAGGCCCCATACTCACAGCTGTCCTCTTCCTCCGTAAACACGCTGACCACGTAGCAGCCACAGACAAAACCTAGAAGCTGAAAGACACCACAGGCGGAGGGGTGAGTGTGGCCAGGCGAGCCCGTGGGGTGTCACCGCGGCGATGCAGGCAGAGGCACCCGAGCACCCCTGACCACCAAGGCCCTGCCTCTCCTAGACCTCAGGTTCCTCCTCTGTGACACGGAGTGGGAGAGCTGACCCGTGGGCATCCTCAGCTCTCAAGTTCCAGCCGCACCCCTGCCTTCCGCCCCACCCCACTCAACCGGGTAGGGGGCAGGTGGGTGAGGATAATGGATATTGGGTGGGGAAGATGACCAGGTCAGCCTGAGTGGCTACAGGGAGTGGGGTGAGGCTGCAGAAGCCCAGGCGGGATGAACCCCAGACCAGCCCAGTCCCAGCCCAGAGTCCCCTCGGGCCCCTCGCCTTTGGCCCCAGCCCACCCCAGCCAACAGCCACCAGGAGCTCCTCCTCCTCTGTGGAGCGAGCCGTCTGGGATTCTGGTTTTGAGCTCGGCAACGTGCAGGAGAGACAGGCTGAGGCCTCGGGGTCCAGCAGGCAACTCCAGGCAGAGCTGGGGGCTGGCTGCTGCCTGCGGGGCAGGGGTCAAGCAGCGAGAGGAGAGGAGAGGGACTGGGAGTCCAGGGCAGAGGACAGGCCACTGCAAAGCCCCACACACCTCGCAGACACCTGCATCCAGGGCCACTGAGGGGAAAAGGGCTCTGGCAAAGGGGGGCAGCGTTGCCACAGCCAGAAACACCAACGGCATGAGCGAGAGGGCCCGGCCAGGGTCACTCCAGGTCACAGACACTGAGGGAGGGGTTGGGGGCAGCCGGCCGCAGTGGGTTTGTGACTGGAGGTGCCCCGGAACGAAGCAGGACACCTTCCTGGCTGCACCTCAGGCCGACCGCTGAGCAGCCGCGTGACCTCGAAAATTCACTTCACCTTCTGGTCTTGGTTTCTTCCTCCATAGACCTGGCCCAACAGCCCCCCGAGAAGGCCCCGGTCCCAGGAGAGGAGACAGGACATGCAGGTCAGGCCCCAGGACTGGACATGCTTGGGATCCGTCCCCCCGACCCCCACCCCGTCTGGTACAGGCGAGCTGGTAGCTGCTTTCCTGGAAATCCAGCTGCTTTCCAGGGGTCA